TAATATATCTTTTATGTAAAATAATAATCTGCTACGTATTTACAGTAACAACAACAGTCAACAGTCAGGTAAATATAGTAGTGAAAGAGTATGATATTAAGTGTAAAGTAGCATTAAATACAAATTACCTCAGAATCATAGTCAAATAATACCTCTCTTCATTGGAAGACTTTTATGTCTTAATTTGTAGTTTAGGTCCCAGAAAAACAGACTTATCTGTTTACACTCTACTGTCTTTGTGGACCGACAAGATTGACATAGCTATTTCAAAATAACTACCCACTGCCTGTCTGAGTTTAAGACATAAAAGCTGGGATAATTTGACAAGCTATTGTTGTTACTTTTTTTTTTTTTTTACCAATTTCATCATATCATAAAGCAGATAATTGTCTTTGCTGTCATTCAATGTAAAAGGTTCTTTGCACTAAAACAAATCAGAAATGTTTAAAGCCTGATAAAAATGGAACACACTGAAGCACACAAGAGATTGCTGTATCATGAAGCAGATGGAATGAGTCTGAAAATGTGCTTACCAACAGGCATAATCTAATTTAATTCTCATTAAAGAAAATCGTAAATAATTAATAGGAACCTTGAGCGACTACATCACACAGGCTCATGACAGTCATTATACTGGATACTGTGGCGTTAAATACACACTAAGGCACGCAGACATGTGGGGAATTTAGACATTATGACAGAATCAAGAAGGCCATCACATTTTTATTGTATTGTTTTGTTCCTCAATGGCTACATTTACATGCAGGCAGTCGGCTGGACCAGCTGTTGTTTATTATCTGGGATGTATTCTTACCTGCTATGTATTCATATATTTACATGAACTGTTTTTGTAATTATGTCTCCATTGGGTGAGGATCAACTAATTAAACCACAGATTAAAAAAGAGCTAAAAGAAACCTTAAAGGAGTGTTCCTTCCTCGGTTATTTCTTCTGGAATAAAAAGAATCCACTTTTAGATTGAGAACATGAAAAGCAAAAGCAGCGAGATGTCATATTTCCATGCTTTAGCCACTTGTTGAACAGTACACTGAATAGTAGAATAAACTAGGCCTATTAACTTGCTGTCCATGAACTTTGGCAGGTTATCCGAACAAACGTATCAAACCTTTTTAAGCCTAACAATTCATAAAACACACTTTTTTTTATTGGGAATTGTTGAAGGAATTATTATAAACAATATGAAAGCCGTATAAATTGGGTGTTTTGGCCACTTGGGAGCAGAAAAACAGCCTGAAAAACACAGACTCAAACATAATATCCCTTTATAAAGTTTCTTATAAAGTAGCATTTATTTTCTACTCATCCCATTATTGCATGTTACTAACACAACTTCTCCCCTTTCTGGTAGTCTTGTGCTTTCCCGTCCCTCTCCTCTCTCCTCCTATCACTTCCTGCAGGTGTTTCTGGCTCTGGAGCTGTGGAGTCTGGATCTGTGGCTGCGGGTCACCTGCTGCCCCCGTGTTCCTGCTCGACACCCTCTGCTGCAACAACTATTGTTACTAGTCCTATTGTTATTATAATCATTAACATTACGATTGTTATCATTAACACTACTTTAAATATCTGTACCATTTTTCATTCAGTCTATAGAAACCTCACCTTTACTGTCTGTACCTCTGTGTGTGTATATTGTGTAGGCTGCCTCCCTCCCCTCTCTCTCCTTCCATCCCTCTCTTTTTCTTTCTGTTCCTCTCTCTCTCTCCCTCCCCTTCACCCCCAACCGGTCGAGGCAGATGGCCGCCCACCCTGAGCCATGGTTCTGCTCGAGGTTTCTACCTCTTAAAAGGAAGTTTTTCCTTGCCTCTGTCGCCTATAGTGCTTGCTCTTGGTGGGAACTGTTGGGCTTCTGTAAATAGCATCACAGAGTACGGTCTAGACCTGCTCTTTTATGAAAAGCGCTGTGAGATAACTGTTGTTGTGATTTGGCGCTATATAAATAAAATTGAATTGAATCGAATTGAATTTGGATTATTCTTTTTTTGGCCTCCTGAAGAATGTAAATCCAATTTGATTTCTACTTTAAGCTCTATTTTGCACCAACTGCTGAGAGAAATATCTGGCTCTTTGGCTGCTAGATTTTAACCATTAGCTATTTGCTAAAAATTATCTGTCTGTTGTTTGATGCTGGTAGGTAAAGTACAGCAGTGTTTGTTTTTAATAATTAATTTAGTCCTATGCTGCAAATGCAGTTGGTTCTGTGGAATTTGGGGGCCATAAAACCGAAAGAATGAACTCCAAGAGGCTTGGGTGACAATTCTCAGTGGCATTGTCATTATAAGCAACCCCCTTTCAAAATTATAATTTGATTGTTGGAGCATGCAGTCATGATTTCTGACATAAAAATGTACAAATTTCTAAAATCACAGTATGGGATGTTACAGAAATTGTCAAATAAATAAATGCGGAAATACTATTTTAGCTATTTTTCCATTTGTCTGTTTTTACTGCAGCAAAGAGTGTGTGCGCACTATTGCCACATGGAGGTAACAGTAATACTCATAAACTGTATATACTACAGAGTATACTGCAGCCAAAGTCATGTAAATATACAACATATATGCTGTGTGTTTCAATCCTCAAATGACTTATGGCTAAATGGGAAAACAACAGTGTTGTCTGCTCGAATTGCCAATAGTATCACATCATGACCAAATATAAGAAGTGAACCAGATAAAAAGTTCCTGGTCAGAATTGAAATTGTGACACAGGAACTGTCAGTCATTCAGTGCTTCCATAATCCTCTAGTCTCTGCTGGGTACTAATGAGCAGACAACGCCCCCCTGTTGAGCCTGCAGCTGCTGTTGGTGATGTACACACACGCACACACACACACACGCACACACCCCATTTGATAAATGTGGACATGTTTTAATTCCATGTGCCTCACCATAAAGTACACGCTCTCTATCAGACCAGGGATCCATCACAACAGAGAAATAACAGGTATGAATAATCTGAATCACCACCTAGTAACCGCTTGTTATAAAATGAACTTCGGCTGCATAGTTTTGAGAACATCTTGTTCCCTGGTGCAACATTGGTCGTCGAATGATGCACCGGTATGTGCGTCAAGTCAGGTATTTTTCACATCATCACATCATCATCAGTACAGAGCCCGACACCTTTAAACTGAAGTGACGGGATGTATGTGCGAGTGGGCGTGTTGAGGCAGGACTGGGGTATAAGAACCTGGTCGTATAGACGACCTCTCCCAGTCTCCTTGGTAACCTGGTGGCATACAGCTGTGTCTGGAAGGCTTTAATGGCTTGTCAAACCCATGAGAGAAAAACAGCGGTAAGGCATCGACAGTCCAAACCTGAGTGACAATCAAAAGCCGCAGGGGAGAGAAATGTCCCTGTACCTTGGTCTGATATATGTTTCACTGCAGTTCACAGTTTGTAAAGAGGGTGTTTTCCCTGCTGTGCACTGAAGAAGTCTGTCTGAACACATTTAACGGGATAACTGGCATGCATCGACAAGGACACGAAGTCTGTACTCACTCTATTTTGGCTAACATTTGGATTTTTGGAAAAAGAGTAATTTCAGGATATAAAGACTTTCCAGTTAGTTTCTAATTAAATATAACCACATAACTAGTGTTTAGAACTTTTCTTCCTGAGTTAATTGTTTAATTAATTTGAAATGTCATATTGCATGCATATAACATTTAGTTTATATTATATTAGTTTATTTCCAGAACTGTGTGTATTAAAAGCTGTTTGCTACAAACTGGTGATCTAACGCCACCTAGTGGAAATAATATTTCAATACTGTACACTTTGACATTCATTTGACCTAAAGTAGGATGATATATTCCTACAATGGACAAAAAACCAATTGGAGGCTGATGTAAATGATACTATGTGTAGCAATTCAGATCACTGTAGTGTGGTTTTAAACTTTTCATTTATCAAATGGGATTAAATCCAAATATAAACTGTTTTTTAAAAATATTTCTATGACATTTTTGCATTCATAAAATTTGGGTTTATAATTTATATATCAATATATAATAAGTTTAATTGCTGTTTTATAAACTCAAATGTAGAGAAAACCTAACAAAGAAATTGTGATAGAACTGCTGAGGATGTGAACACACATTTAAATCAAAAGTTCTGATTTTAATGTTTATTAGATAAACAAAATCCTTGAAAGTTGTGTTTACTGGCATTTCTTGTGACCTATCATTTGTTACAGAGTGAATAGAAACATTATCTTGCCTACCAGTGGTAAATCTGTTTCTGCAGACAAGTGTATAAATAGCCTTTCAGACTTTCTAATTTAGTTTATATGTGACTCTGGTCAACATCTGTCAAAATCAGCAAGATTTGTCTTAATCCTTTATTGCAAAAGGATGAGAATTTATCTATTTATTTATTTTTAAATCTGTACATTAAGATTTTTAAAGAACTGGCTCTTGTTGATTGCAGTCAAATACCTTTAAGACATCTAACACCCCTCCATAAAGCTTCTTCCACTCTGCAGACGCTTAGGGTCGTGGGCTTAACCTCTCAGTCAACAGTTGGGTCTTTTTGCTAAAAACACTGCAGGCCTACATTGCTAGTCCTGAACCTCTGAGACTAAAATAGCTCCTAAAAAAGTCAGCTGTGTAACACCTGTTAGATCTTAACACGACTCCACCCACCCCAAAAGTTAACCGTTCTGCTTTGGGAGTCCCTTTTAAAAAAAACAAAAAACATTGACATGTTTTAAGAGTATTTAAGATCATTTCACAATTATGAAAATAATGTCACTTGACTCTAAAAGATCAATTTACTGGAAACAAATGAAATGTTGTCACCTTATTTGAAGACTTTTAAACCCTTGATCACAAATTTCTGAATATCTTAGGGGGAAAAAAGGTTGTGGGCAAGTAAAACAAACCCTTAACAACTGTACAGGTGAAAATACTGTTGGTATGCAAAGATAAAACAACCACAAAACATACTCTAGTGTAGTAGTAAAATGAACACCACCACACATTCAATCAGGTTTAATGAAGGCTTCAACCACAGCTTGTGAACAGATGAACTAGTGAACACCAGCATCACAAAGTTAGAACAGATATTTATACATCATTCAGGATGTTATGGCTTGATTAACTTTATTTACGTCAGTCCCCCCAAATACGTTCCTACTCAAATCCACACACAATCCCTGGGATAGCTTTTATGATACAAGATGGAAGTATGAGCCAAATAGTCAAGAAACAACTTGGCTGTCCAGATGCAAGTGGCCCTTACTTCCATGAGCCAGACTTGCCCTTGGCCCCGCGGGAGGTCTTAGATGCTTTGGAGCCCCTCTGGTGGTCGCTGACTCGGTTCCGGAGCACGTAGATGTCGTACTTCTGCCTCTTGAGCTTTTCAGCCAGCTCAAACTTCTCGGCGTGCAACTGGTGAAGCCACTGCCAGAGGTCCTGCACCTTCTCTGCCAGCTTCTCCTGGTTCAGGTGGTCGATGTTGAGCGGCTTCCGGCGTTCCATCAGGGCCTTCTTCTTCTCCTCTCTTGCTGTCAGCTTCTTCCCCTTCTTCTGGTCCACCTTCTGCAGGTAGCCGCCAAAGGACTTGTTGGTGAATATCTTCTTCTTCTTTGCCTCCTCCTCAGCACGCAGTTTAGCGGCCTCTTCCTCGCGCCTCGCCCTCTCCTCAGCCAGACGGGCTTGGCGTTCACGATCCTGCTCGGTGCGGACTCTCTGTTGTTCCGCTCTGTCAGCTCGACGGCGTTCAATGCGGTTCCGCAGTGCAACCAGCTCTTCCTCCTCTTTCTGGCGAGTGGAGAAATGTGACTCGATCAAGGTCTGGAGGTCGTTGAAATCCTTTTCTAGTCTTTTACGGTGCAGGTCATCAAAATCCACCTTCTCACCATCGGGGAGCTTTGGAGGAGCAATATTTGGCACATAAGTTGTCTTAGGACGCTTCTTGGACTCCCCCTCATGCTCATTCTCTTCTGCATGCTCTTCTTTCTTCTCTGCTTCGTTATCACTCTGCTCCTCTTCCTCTTCTTCAACTTCTTCTTCTTCCTCCTGCTCGTACTCCTCCACAATTTCCTCAGTGTCTGACATGGTGGTACCTCAGAGGCTTTCTAGGGAAGAGAAACACCAAGACCAGCTGGTGTCTTGCAAACAAGTGATGACCAGAGTCTCGGGCGTGCAGCTTGCGAGTTTTTAAGGACTCGCCTTTACCATGTGACTGTTGGCTGAACAAAATCTCCTGAGTGTAGGTCAGCAGCAGGGCAGATTTTGAGACAGATGGAATAGTCTATTTTCTCCTCATCAAGTCTTGTCAGCCCCCCCCCCCACTTATCCCCAATAGACCCCCCTGCTCTCTACCCTGACCCTTCAGAGCTCCTCATTCCTTTGTAAGGACAAGATGAGAGACTATTTCAGATACACAACAGATGCACACACATACTTGTGCTTTCCAGTCCCACAAAGCAACACAAAGTGTCCTCCAGAACAAATAACATCCATACTTTTAAAAGCCTACTGAGTCTCTGGCACTGACAAGAAACAGATATGTGGAAGCAGAAATATGGAGGATAAATAGGGAAGAATGTACCACAGCTCATCCAGTCTATGGATATTTCACAGCATCAGCAATATGGGGAACTCGCTATTCCATCATGATAGTTTTAAAAGCCACAAAGCGGGTGGTGTTTAAGAACTTCCATTAACAAAGCACACTGCAATCTCTTAAGTAAGTCAGAGGCTGTGAGGATTTTAATGACGGGAAGCTGTCATATCTTATGACCTGTAGCAGTAATAAACTAATAACTGTGCTGTTTTAGAGTTAACTTGAACTTCTATCTATCTCATTATTATTATAGCAGTTGGTGTATTTTAAATATTAATATTTGCATACCAACTGTTATTTCTAAAAAGACAAGCAACCCTAAGCACCACAAGAGACCTCTAATAAGAACAACAATTCGTTAGATGAGCTTTACTGCCCCGGCCTTGTCTCTACTTTGGAATGTAATTAAAACATTCTTGCTATGGGAGGCTTTCTACTTTCAGCGCTGAGTGGATTAAAGTGCAATTGCTCCCATGCTGCAACATTTAAATGATGATGTCAAGAATTTATGTTTCCATGTTTCCATTTCCTTGAGTTATCAGTGGAAAAGGACTAACACAGTTTTTAGAAGATGAGATAACTGACAGGGAGAGACAGGTGCTCTGTTGCGTCTGAAAATCCCAATTGCATGCGCCTCTGTAGGATAAAGATGACGTTATTCTGCTGTACGTGTGTGGCAGACAACACATTATCTTAAAATTCAGTATTATGAATCTTCTAGCCCCCTGAGTAAGTGAAGAAAGGCTAAGTGAAGAAAGGCTAATAATGGCCTTAAAGGAAGGACCAAAAATCAAATCCTAATGGCTATGAGAATGCCCCGTGCCTGTGTCACCCAGGGTGGACTAAGCGCCACTAAAACATGCCTGCGCACAACATGAGGACAGCAGGTGTTTCCAATATAATGAAGGCACTTTTGGTTGCTGGTGGCAAGGGACAACTGTGTCTATCAGCAAAGAAAGGCAAGACATGAGGAGGGCTATAAATAGCCACACCCTCTGCTGTTTAACACAATTCAAAATGAAGAAATAGAGTAATACAGTAAAATCCCTGTATGTTTAAACTCAATGTAACTGTTCTGAAATCAGACTGAAAACAAAAAGAATGAAGAAGTTGATGAAGAAGGTGACATCCTCAAAGGACATTTTCATAATTTCATTTAATATAAATAATGACCCAGCATCCAGAATAAAGCAGTTATTTGTCATGTGCAAACCAGTGCTTCTCCCCATACTGAGTCAGTAAGTTAAATCTTTAAACAGGAAATGTCTGTGCAGTTCATGGAATGAAGCAGGCATCCATTGGCAGGCAACCCTGGGTGCACAGTGACCTCTCCTGGTCAAAGTGTTGCAGTACAGTTAAGTGAGTCCAGTCTTCCTCTCCCGTTGGGGTTAAAAGGATTCTTTACAGTAAATATTTACATTTACATTTACTCATTTGGCAGAAGCTTTTATCCAAGCGACTTACATTTGAGTAACATTTAAATAAGTAATAATTTAAATATTTTATCTCACCATTCCTGCCTGATTGGACATTAGTTGTCCATGCTGATTAAGGCAACAGATTTATAGACTGGCATGCCAAATTTAGTTTGCATCTGTTTTGTTATAGACACTGTCACAAAAATATTTCAAGTCTTATAACCTTACACGACTGACTTCTCATTTACAAGTGAATGGTTATATCCTGAGGGTCTTTGTTGTATATTTGGTTTGATAAAGGGCCCATCACTACTTCAAATGCTTTACTGATACAGTATATTTAAATATGCATAAACTAAAAATACAGATAAAAAGGACTATATGTTACTTACCCATCACAACGCATGCAACCTAACATTTGAGTACAGAAGCCAGGAGTGAATTTGCAGCAATGTCCTTAACATCTTTTTCCAGAGTTATCTGTGTGCTCCCAAAAGAAAACCATTAATTTAGACAGCTGGATTACTTCATTGTTATTGTTTTGACTATAACCCTTGTGTTGGCTTTCTTTGATCGATGTTTGAGGTTCCACAGACTGTTGTATGATCAACCAATATGCAGAAAAGTACGGAAGTGGTAACCCTTTCCTTTTGCACAAACTGAGCTTGCACATTTGGTGAAGGTAACAAAATACAGAAAATAAAAAAATATTTTATGTTCTATATATTACATGGGCTATAAGTTGCCTGTTAATTAGGTACATCTAGTAACAACTAATGCAGTCTAATGCAAAAGTCCTGCAATAACCCCTGCCTGCGTGAAGGTTATACTGTTGTAGAGAGGTGTTGATTCAACTTTATGGAGGCTGTGGTGCTGCTGAGCTGTATTGCAGCATACAAAGTTGCTGTTTCTTTTATTTACCCTAGCCTTATTGATATCCTGTAAATGTAGTGGACAAAATAATAGAAACAACTGTCAGTCCAATACAATTCAACAGCACCAAGAACCACAGCCCCCAAAATGACCGTAAAGTTGAATCAACACCTCTCTACAACAGTTCTAGCAAAAACTGAATATGAAGGAAGGATGTACTGCATGACTGTTGTCTTAGTTAGCATTAGTTTTGTTGAAGAGGTTGAAGAGGGCCCAGGGTAACACTATCCTGGACCCCAAACAAAACATTATGCTAGACCTAACGTTAAGCTAACACAAGTCAAGCTAACTCTTTATTAGTTGTTATCTTAGCTGCAGTGTGTTTATATGTTACTAACTTATATATTATTTAGTTATAGCTGGCCAGCTAATTATTGTAAGGTTATCATTCATGTCATCTTAGCCTCAGTGTTACCAATGTAAACCAGCATTTTACAATAAGTATTCTATAAGTAAGTTAGTCAAATTGAAAATCCTTACATGCTATCTTGTGTTAGCTTACAAGTTTAGCTTCAACACACAGCAGAAAGAGGATGGAAACGGACAGAAACACATATGTCGCGAGTAACTTCAGACATTTACCTTCAAAATTCACGAAATCGGAGGTAAATGGTCCGGTGGGCGGGACTGGATATCAAACACCGCCTTCCAGTGACAGCAGGTGGTCACATGCATCCTTGACACCGCCCAGCTAACACCTCCCATGTTATGAAAGAAGCAGAGCGGTGATAAGAGCAGACGTGTCCTCCAGCTGCAAGGCTCTGAAACTGGTAAAATAATCTGTTTAACTAACTAATGTTTTATAAAGCATGGTTTATGCTGTGTCTTAGGTTGTATGTAGCTGCGCACAGTGGTCTGATTCTTAAGTAGCCTTTGCTTTACAAAACATAGCCTACATAACATGTCATGTAACCAGACGGGGGGAGCGGTTTGTTTGAGCCTGTGGGGAAGGTGAGCTAACCCTTGTTTCTGGCAACCATAGACAAAATTGGTTATATGAATACACATTTTTGAAGAGTTAATCTTTTTACTCACCCTGTGGTGGAGAGAGGTCCATGGAATAAGTGATAAGCACATTTAAGATCAAAAAACTGTTTTTTGAGTTCAAAGTGATTTTTTTTTTTATGTCCTGATTCTTGCTTCTGAACAATTACAGAGAGGTTTGAAAAAATCTTACACATGTGTCTGTGCTTTAGGAAGTTACAATATAAGGCTATACTGTTAGCATGTCATTACCCTTAAACTGCTAGATGACACAATTTCGTTACAATGGCAGGGATGACAGCTATTTTACTGTGATTTTACATTGCATTTTTAATCATCAGCGAAATCATGTGACATTGTGCATTTTAGTCCAGAAACCATCATGTCATGCTTCTATAAATAGAAGACAGACAGGCTTCAACTCTTGTGGATTTGGACAGAGTAGTGGGAGAGGTACAAAAATGGTCCAGTCATCAGGTGGCATGGGACATGACGTTTAACAGGATGGCTTTAAAGCGATACATTGATATGAAACTAGGAGACATAGCTGCAATGTTTCACTACTAAATGCAATTAAATGTTGGGAACTGGCATTTGAGTTTGCATGATAAAATGCCATTGATGTCACCGACCCTGATGTAGCCAAGAGTCCACTTTTTTGGAAAGCCATATTTTGAAAACAGTTTATTTTAGATCTAAATTGATTATTACCAAGGATGCACCACATCCTAAAACATATGTACATATTTGAATTGGAGACATTACTGTCATGTCCTCGCTTTAAAGTCACATCAAGTAAAAACTTTCTCAACTCACCCCGCTCTCCCCTAAGCATGTAAAATCACGTGCAAGCCAGCAGTCAGTTTGTTGCAGCCTCTGAAAACTGAGGACAACCTTTATTCATACTTTTTGATTCACATGCATGCATTGGTGGTATGTAACTAAGTACATACTCAAGTACTGTACTTTAGTACAAATTTGAGGCACTTATACTTATGCTGAGTATTTCTTTTTTATGCAACTTACATCTACCTCACTACACAGGCAAATATTGTACTCTGACAGCTTTAGTTACTAGTTAATTTTCAGATTGCAATTGTATATTCTTAGTTTGTATACTCTTAGTTAGTGATAGCTAATTGGATGGCCCATTAATCGGCGATAATTGGCATCAGCCAATAACTGCACTGGAGAGGCCATTGTATCATCCTAAATGACAGCAGCGCTAATCTAAAACCATTACTGGCAAGTGTTAAATATTATACTGTATAGAATAATGCAGTTGAATTATGTGACTTCTGACAAACTGTCGTCCACTCTTCCTCAACACCAGTCATGTTCTGAAATCTACAATATAAGCCAATGTATTTTCTAATTATCTATTACATTAATTAATTCAAACTTACTGGCTAAGATGACCATGTATTATATGCGATTGTACTCAAATTGTACAAATATCGGCATTGGCCATTAAAAAAAATCATATCGCTTGAACACTACTTACTGTTAAGTGAAAACAATATACAGTTGCAGGAAAAAGTATGTGAACCCTTTGGAATTAACTAGATTTCTGCACAAATTGGTCATAAAATGTGATCTGATCTTCAGCTAAGTCACAACAATAAACAAACAAACACAGTCTGCTTAAGCTAATACCACACAAACAATGTTTTGATGTTTTTATTGAACATACCATATAAATATTCAAAGTGCAGGGTGGAAAAAATATGTTAACCTCTAGGCTAATGACTTCTCCAAAAGATGATAGGAGTCAGTCAACCTGGAATCCAATCAATGATGCGAGATTGGAGGTGTTGGTTAGAGCTGCCCTGGCCTCTAAAGAACACACTGCTGTAATGAGTCCTGATGTAATTTTTAACCCAGTTTTAAAAATGAAATATTTGGTCGCATTGTTTAACTATATATATATCTAAGATCAATCAGTGACACTTGTGCCAAGAGTGCCACCTTCCAAGTTCACTGTATTTATACATGTTGTTGGTTCTCTTTGCAAATCCACTTCAGTTGTCAACAATGCTTCGTGTCACCGCTGCCTCCCTGTGTACCTACTGCCGGAGGATGAGCCTCCACCTCCCTTCCTCTGCTGCCACAGTGACTTCTCGCAACAAAAGACCGGAGAACCAGCACACAGTGGACTCCCTCTATGAACTATCGGTGGACATCCGAAAGGTACGCAAGTTCAAAGGCTGGGTTCTGTCTGAGAGCTCTGCGTATGTGTCTGAAACTGCTGACCTGTTGAGGGACATGGGTGCAGACACATCTGTAATCACCCGCATCCTGGAAACTCACCCTGAAGCTGTCCTGTGTCGGCCGGAGGACGTGGCCGCCCAGCGGGACCTTTGGGTGTCTGTGTGCCCCAACAAGCGTGAATTGATGAGCATCATTGAGAAGTTCCCGGCTTCTTTCTTTACATTAACTCATTATAGCAATCAGCGGGCCAACATCCTGTACCTCCGGAGTCTTCGCCTCAGCAAGAGGATCATCGGGAAGCTGATGGCCAGCGCCCCGCAAAGCTTCAGCCGACCTGTGGAGAAGAACCAGGAGGTCATCCATACTCTGAGGGAGACCTATCTGGACCTGGGCGGAGATGAGGGCAACCTGCGCATCTGGCTGCAGAAGCTCCTCAGCCAGAACCCGCACATCCTGCTGCGGCCAGCTGAAGCCTGGAGGGACAGTCTGGGCTTCCTGAGGGAGCAGGGCTTCACCACAGAGGAGCTCCTCAGCCTGGTCTCAAGCCTCAAAGCCTCCATTGCAGAGCTGCAGCCAGAGGCCATGAAGCAGGCCCTGTCCTACATCGAAGGGGCTCTCGTCTGCTCCAAGGACGAACTCAAGCAAATAGTGATCCGCTGCCCGGCCATTTTGTACTACTCTTTGCCCATCCTGGCTGGGCGGTTCCAAGGATTGATGGATGTTGGCGTAAGCATGGAGCAGGTGAAGGAATCTCCAAATGTCCTGGAGCTCACCACGCAAATCGTGCTTTATCGCATCCAGAAGCTGGCCTCCTATGGGTATGATGTGCCCTCTGGCAGCCTGGAAGTTATTGTGGGAACTAAGAAGGACTTTGAAATGAGTTATGGCAAGCTGCACCTCAGGCAGCAACGTCCGCTCTTCAACCCTGTAGCTCCCCTCAGATCTGCTGAGGACTGAATGTCAGAATTTGTTGATATCAATTTCAATTCAATTTTATTTATATAGCGCCAAATCACAACAACAGTTATCTCATAGCGCTTTAGAGCAGGTCTAGACCGTTCTCTGTAATATTATTTACAGAAACCCAACAATTCCCACCAAGAGAAAGCAGTGGGCGACAGAGGCAAGGAAAAACTTCCTTTAAGAGGCAGAAACCTCAAGCAGAACCATGGCTCAGGGTGGGCGGCCAGCTGCCATGACCGGTTGGGGGGATAGGGTGAGAGAGAGAAATGCTGCTGATATGGGATGGTGTATGGGAAAAGGTTTGATGCATGTTGTTTGATGCTGATTTTGAAAGGGGGTTCACAAATTCACCTTTGTGCAAGCTGCATGAAGAAGGGATGAAGTTTCAAATACCAAACGTCCAGCGATACAGTACTGCTAAGAACAACTTTATTATGAAACTAAAATGTTTCGACCTGTGGCCTTCATCTCGGTCTTTTGACTTGAGGCCTCCTGTGAAAATAAGACACTGACTGTTTTGAAATCTTAAGTACTAAATTTAAATGACAAATATATCAAGGGATAAACTGACAAATATTGAAGTAGTGATGCATGGGAATTAACAAAATGATTATGGTAACTTAACATGTCAGATGAGGAATAAATGACTGATCTAAATTTGTACGGTATTTGATGTTTCTAAAGTGCCATAAAGCTTCTTTTCTTCACAGTGACTGTCTTGATGTGTAGTGGGATTCATACTATATGATTTTCAGAAGTTACATTTAAGTGTTTAGAGTGAAAGCAGAGCATCAATCATTGGACGATTTCTCCAAAATTTAAATATACTACAATTTGACCTTTTTCAGCACTTTAGTTTCAAAGAATAGACTGAAACAAATGGTTTATTTATCCCGGTTTTAATTAAACAAGCAAATTGAGAAGAAACAAGAATCAAGTGAAGCACTTCTCTCCAGTGGTACATTTATTGGGGATTACAGGGGGACACCATGATATGAAGACTCTGTATTCCTGCCACCTTTTCTGAATAACCATTGACAAGGGCAATAACTTGATAATTAACTTTATACCGATTTTCCCTCTACAGTGGTACAGAAAAAAAGTCTAGTACTGAGATGACAAAGGAAATGATCAATACACTTCTGCTGATAGATACATGGGATTGCTAAAAAGGGAGAACATTGGGAAGTTGAGAGAACATGAGAACAAGCTGTATTAGAACAGATAAGAGTTTTCTCACCATTTTTGGAATCGACAGTATATAAATGCTCTTGTTTTTTTACAGAAAATTTTCCAAAAAAAAAGATCCATCCACAATGGTTTTGCATATCAAAAATATATCAATGGGTCTATGGCTACACAAAGAGAGAAAACACATACAATATCCAAATATGTACAAGTTGTATGTGAGCTGCGATTAGCAAATTCATTATATACACAAGGACTTTTGTCCCAGCAATATTAACCCAAACACAAGCACAGTGTTCACAGCCTCTCCAGTGATGTCAGCACTGGCTGGGTCGTGCAGTCCACATGATAATATACAGTCCCAAACTTGTGAATGTGTTATATAATGGGTTCGTAGGCTCCTCCTGAAGGTGTGTTCATGCAACATTGTAGTGCTGTAATAAAAACAAAAGTCTTAGCGTCCATTTTGCGTTTGGCTGCGTACACGGTAGGACTGAAGTCTGCAGACACTCCTGTAAGCAGAAAGAAAGAACACATAAGACACTGACAATGACAAATATGTCTAATAAATGCAGCTTCAACAATTAACTTGTCACTCTTGATAAATAAACTTGACCGAAGAAGATATATTGACTTTTATGGCACATTTAGGAATAATTTGAAGAATTTAAAGATATACCCCAAAGAGAGACCCTTAAATGATTATGTGCAACTTAAAAGATAGGTCTGGTTTTAGTAAATGTATGTCTAGTTTCAATTAAGTTTCCAGCTAACCTTTCTAGTGGGTGCTCTGTCTTTGGACTTTAGAGCCTCTGCTGTTGCCAGAGTCCTCACTGTGGCGTTTGCCACTGGTCTGAGGAGTGCAGTGGTGTTCAGGTCCTACAAAATAAAACAAAAGCACTGTTTAGAAAGCTGCCCTGAAAAAAAGTTTTACCATCTCTGTCACAATAAACAGACATAGTTTAGGATAAATGAACTTAGACTATAAAGCATGGTTGATACATGCTGATGCCATGGAAGACTCAGAGGAATCTGATTTATTAATTAAATTATTAAAATCCACCCTTTTTGGTATAAAAGCATACCAGTCTCACCTTTCTGAATGGCAGGGCCAGGAATCTGCTGTGTGCCTTGACCGTAACACATCACACTGGCACTGGTGCCTGCATACCCTGGAATTCAAGGAATATTCAAGGATTAGCAGAGAAGTTATCAGGGACTCATGGGTGCTACAACATAAGGGTGACAAGTATAAGAAAACACGTGGTATAAAGTGAGCGCAAGGCATTGTATTCAGACGAACGAGATGGATTTATTAAACGTGTAGTAACTGAGGGTACTCACCTTGCTGGTGTGTGCTGATGCTGGTTTGTTGATCACCTTGCAAGTACATCATGACACCGCTTTGCCAGTCTCCCTGCGAGTGACCTGGCATCTGATAGCCTGTAAAAACAAAACAAGCAAAATAGATTGACTTTATGGACACAACTTCACTGCCAGAGACTAGAGAGGAAGTTATGAAGAAGCCAGAACTTCTGCAGGTATTATGCCACCTACCGGATAGAGTAGAAGCATTGTGTGCAGACTCAACAGGGAACCCCGTCTCGCCATTACCGTTACCAGTGTTGGACGGAACTGTGGCCAGAAGGCCTAAGGACACAAACAACAGAGAGTCACCAGCCGTCAATAACTTCACATCGCTGCAAATCACTGCTAGTTAAACATTTTGAATCAGTTGGTTTTTGTGTTGATTTTTTTAAACCACTTTTAAGGCTCTTGTTAGTCTGGTTGATGTTAAATAACAGATATTTAACTCCACTTTAGCTAGACTGTAGCCCAAGGTCCTCAAGCAGGTTTTTGTTAGTCATTTCTTTCTTTTTTGTTTTAAAAAAAAGATAATATTGAAAAGCTGATAGTTTAGAGGAAGACAAAATACCGGGACGAAGGTTATGTGGTATGCGTCGTAACCATTTGGGTACCAGGACGCCCCCTACTGGTCATTTTCAAGTTTAAATTAAAAATGAGAGGTGACTACTTCTTTATATTCTGAACACCAAAACCTGCCTGAGGAGTTAAAGCTGGTTAAACCTACACTTTTTGTTTAACTCACCTTCTTAAAACTCACAAAAATATGAATTTATATTTACAGGAGATCCTCGTTGATCTGACAACTCTGCTTCATATTAATATTAAAGATGTTTGTGAAAAATCTGCATCTAGTGCAGCATCCTTACCGAGGCCTCTGTAACAGGAGAGCTGCTGGTAGATCTGTTTCATTCGCTCAATGTTGAGACGGCTGGCCTCTGCATGGTGCACCATGGGCTTGGGGAAATGTACTCCAATAATACATTTGGCTGCCTTCTGCACACTCTCTGGGGCATTCCAGGGATCATAAATATATTTGGCTGGAAACCCTCTCAGAATGGGCAGGTAGCGCCTGAGTAAAGAGATGAAGAGGTTTAGTGAGCATGATTACAACAAGCAAAAAGATGTCAAGATCTAGTAATACTGATTTATCAGCATGTCTGAGTCAACCACCTCTCACAATAACCATTTTAATTGTTCAATTATATTACTTAGTTTGTTTGGAAGCTTTTCCACTCTCACAAAAAGATTCAGACTTCAGTTTAAAATATTAGTATCAATTAATATCTCTTTTCAACTGAGCCACAATTGCAGCATCACATCATATCATATAAAAAGGATCCCACCTATACTGCAGATTAAACAGGGAATAAATATAGGATTCAGCAGATGTCCGCATACCGTATGTAATCTCCATTGGGGTCTGTGCGTCGGCCGAAACCCACAGGGCAGTAGCAGTGGAAGAACTGCTGGAAGAAAGAGCTGCAGGAGAGCCACATCCAGCTGCCTGCATTCACACTCCAGTCTGCATCCAGCAGCAGCTCCTCAAACACCTGTAGACACAAACAAGCCTCATGTTAGTTGAGCATGTTCAATGCAGAGAAAAGTATTTTCTGGTTACATGAGGACTTCAAATCTGGAATAAATTTAAACAATACTTAAAAAAAAAACACATGTAAACACTTGGTCTACCTTCATGCCCTCCTCCCAGCCAATCCACAGGTCTCCTCTCGTCAGGAAACAGGCCACGGCGTGTCTAGCCAGGTGGTGGATCCATCCCTCCTGCCTCAGCTGGGTCATGATGGCATCGATCCAGGGGAAGCCGGTACGGCCCTCCGCCCATTTGGCCAGCGCCTCAGGGTTGCGGTCCCAGGGGATCTGAACGCAGATTGGGTTGCTCTCCATCTTGTCGAAGCAGGGGTTGTTGGTGGCTGCCGTGTAGAAGAACTCGCGCCACAGCAGCTGACCGTAGAGTGAGAGGGGAGGGGAGCTGTTCTTCTTCACCTGATGGGGTTGGAGAAGTGGCAGGACATGTTATTGTCTCGGGAAATCATTATTATACATTACTGTATATTATTATAGTATTCCTTGTCAAATTCAGATAAGAGGAAAAAATTAGGATGACATCTAGGAATGTAAACTAAATTAAGATTAACTCATTGGCAGATCAAAATATTTATCATTCATGTAATCACAATCTGCCAGAAACTGTGCAAAAGGTTTTACTGTGTAGGCTGACAGTGTTTTCTCAGTCAACAGTATTTGAAATGGTTCCTTTCTACACAGAAAAGCAAATTCAGTTACACAACTACTACACCTTTTCAGGCAAAACCATTAAACTTACTACTAATACTACTACTATTACTTCGCAATAAGAGAAAACAGACAGGAAGACATATTCCTCAATAATACTTTATATTTCTTGGCTGTAAACACTTGCACTGGAGTCCGAATATACAACATCACACCTCAAGAGGGAGCCAGAGCAACAAAGCAAGACAGCTGTGGGTAATTCAACTCCTTACAGAATAAATTGGGAACAATTAGGCGATAGTAATGACAACAGGTTCAATCTACACACGCTGTTAGAAGAAGTTAACCTGACTAAAATGACAGTGTGCAGAAAGACGCAAGACACTTCCAAAATAATTGTAGCATTGTCATGTTCATACATCACCTTCTGATAAGCTCATTTCAGTCACTGTATTGGCACAAATATAACAAAACCCTGATTGACCCTTTCCTTGCAGCTTTTTGAAGATAAGAAACTCTTCAATGTTTGTAGTCCAAGGAGAAGATTGGATGCCTTTTCTCTCACAAAAAGTATTAAGTGTAAAATCTCACATTTGTGTTGCACATTTTCAGTTACAGCTGATTCTTCGTCCTCTTTTTCAGTGAGTATGTGACCGAAAAACAAACGTGTGGAAGGGCTCAGAATAATCAACTGTAGCAGTTAGAGTTGATATTTACTCCCTCTATTTAAAAAGAATATCTGCTGAATATGTATTTTATCTAGCTTGATTTACAGGGGGAAAAAAGCATTATCTTATATTCGGGCCAATGCGGTATACCAGAACTGTTCTTTCTATGTTCCAAGATGTTGATGACTCACCTTCCTGTAGAGGTCGGTGAGTTTGAAGTAGAAGAGGCGACAGGAAAGGCAGCCAAAGCGCAGGTATGGACTGAGGCCTGTCGGGCTGGCGAGCAGTGAGTTGGCGTTCATTCTGGGACGCTCAAAGTTGGCCACCCACGCCTGATGGCAACACAGGATCAGACATGAAATGATAGCATGGTGTTTCACTATGTTTCTAACAAGGTTGTCAGCCTTACATGATTATGTTCAACTGCTTTTGATGGTTTTCAGTGGCTCATATAGTTCAGAAGCTCAAAAGCTTGAGAAGAAGAACTACAAACTCAGGGATTTTTACATTTTTAATTAATTCCTCATCAGGCTCTGATCTGATTTTACTGACCTTCCTCTCCAAATGCCTCTCAAGTCGTGTGAGGGCTTCTGTCTCTCCCCCCGGCCACACAGCTGACGACAGACCTTCAGTATCAAAACCTGCAGGGATCACATTAAAAGAACACATTAAAATTCAATGTTGAATTTCAGTCTGGAACATGTGCGAACACTGGTTGGTACTGATGTGGACATAAAAAAGCTTCCTGGTTCTGTCTGGCCTCACTCACCCAGCTCCTCCAGGGAGGGAACGCCAAACTTGTCATCGTGGTCCTCGGACAGTGGCGTAGAGCATTTCCCCATGACTTCCGCCGTGATGGACTCCACAGGCATCTCCACTGAATCCATACGACTGATGAGGGTCTGGAACCGTTTGTAGGTAAGAGGGGACTGACCGCCATTCAGCTCTATGATCCTGCAGGAGTGAAATGAGCACAGGAAGAGTCAAACGCCAAACAGACAAACAGAGTGCAATATTCATGCCCAAAAAATAATCTATGATTGTTTGTTTTACAGATGGCTTTAAAGCAGTTGTGGTGATATGAACTCACTTGTCCAGGTCATAGAGTGTGTGGGAGATGCGGACTGTCACCTCCACTCCAGCCTCACAGGCCAGTTTTTTAATAGCTGCATCTCGCTCTTTCCCAAAAGGCTCAGAGTCGTACTCATAAGACAAACGAGAAATATTCCACTCCTGGAGAACAGGGGATTTAAAATGAAAAAAAGTGAGCTACAGAACAGAATAAACACGGTTTGCACAACATGTTTAAAATACCCTTTAGCTTTATGGTTAAATCAGATTACCGTGTTACCTTGAAAAGTCTGGGAAAGACATCAGTGGGTTGGCCTCGTATCACAAACAGTCGAGAGTTGAGCTTGCGGAGGCTAGAGTCCAAGTCCTCAAGACTCTGCAGTAAGAACCTGGAGGACGACAGGAATAAAGAAAGAGTGGGTAAAACACGGACAGTAATAAACATATATTAAAAACATTTCACAAACTCTCGTGATGTTGAAGCTGGAAAAAGGAGAATCGTGCGAGGTTGCTCTGGGTTTGACAAGACAAGCTGAAGCAGCGTTTTCTATTCTATCTGCTCTTTCTGCTACATTGAGCAGCGAGGTATAGCTAAATCTGTTACGACCTACTGCAATCATCTTTTTTTTTTCTAAAATAAAATTTAACTGCGTTCACAACAAGGCACTGACACACAGGAAGAACTTTAGAGATTTAAAGTAAGTGACCTAATTAAACAAATTCTTTTTTTCTTCTTCAATGGAGTCGACAGAAGGGGAAATAGACAAATGCTTGTTCTGGTTACAGAACAATAGAAGTCATCAGCATAGTAAGAGAATAGTAACCAGAATAAGGATGCAGGTGATTATGCAGTCTATGTTCTTGTATTCAAATACAGTACTTTTTAAATTAAAGTTAATGACATAACATGTAGCTTTAGTTTCCTTTTATTCACGGATTCACAAGTGTGAATATAAGGAGAGAGAGATATAATTTTATGACTGATGAGTAACAACATATATCAGAGGTAGACCCCACTAAATCTACAAGCATTGTGTGCACCCCTGTTTATGACAACTCACAGTACAGTGAGACATGTTATAATAAATATCCTGTCAGCGGGATGAAAATGTGCTCTGAATCTGAACAGAGCAGTGTGTGAGTCAGCAGAAATATCTGACCAAGCTAAAGTCGGTAATCAGGAGAGGCGGCAGGACAAATGGCCACCTTAATGGCAGTGCAGGAGCCCATTCCTGGAAAATGTGTCACTGTTGGTTAGATAATAATGCCACAGGCAGAATAAAGTGGGAGCTAGACATTCTGGACAACTATAGAAAAAAAGATTAAATTAAAGCAACTGCTGAGCAACACTGTTTTGTAACACTGCATGACTGGCATTTGTTCACCAGAACAGTCCATCAATGACTCCTTATACAGCCTGCTAGGTGTAGGTTAAAACAACCTGTTTTACCTGTTTATTTAAGAATAGAGCGGGCAGTATGGATAGAGCAAGATGTTATGGTATGCACACGTAGCAAAATTATACTGGCATCACATGTAGGTGAAGAGCTACGGGAAACCAGAATTGATGAAAAGAATAATGCTTGTACACCAACGACACATATTTAATTAAATGGACAACATTTCGATCTTTGGTGGGTCAACGGTGGGTTGACTGGGATGATGCCTACTGATGTGTTATATGACAACCAGAGATATTACAGAGAAAGCTACCTCAGTTAAAAAAGTATGGCAATATTTGTACCAGCAGAAAAACATCAGGGTATATATAATTAAATTGCCCAATCATTGTCAAGCCTATTAATGGCCTTAAATTTAGATAACTACATAAATTTAGATAACTAGTGTGGACGGGGCCAACTGAGGAGTAGTCAATCCGTTTCCTGTTTACACCGGCACGCACATGCCCAGTGTAAGTGAATGGTCATGTGATCCGCGTTTTCAGTCGTTTTAATGTGGACAGAGATCAATTCTAATACGAAGCTAAAATGCTGGTGTGGATTGAGATCGTATTCGTTTTACTTCTCCGTTTCTAAACTAAAACGTAGTAGTGTGGACGGGGCCTCAGACAGTTTAGGATTTAGGATTTGGTACAGCTCAAACTCAGTGCCGAAACAATCAAAGTCGACAGAAAATCAATAGGCAACTATTTTCATGATTGATTTCTTCATTTAGTCGTTTTTTTAAGCAAATTGCTATTGTCTCAAATATGAATATTTGCTTATGTTCTTAGCCTGTTATGATACTAAACTAAACAATAAAGCTATTTAAGACGTCACTTTAGGCTCTGGAAAACTGGTTGACAGTTTTTGCTTAAACAATGTGTCAAATAATTGAGAACATGATTGGCATGGCAGGTGATTTGATGATGGAAATAATTGTTTTTCTCAGTCCTACTTAACTTTGAAATGATGCAATGGATTCAATACATGCCAATCACTTTGCGTTACTCGATTTCTGTATTAAATGTGCTTCTAATTTGCACAAAATTCTAATGTTGTTATGTTGTCTATTGTGTGGACTAATTTAAATTTAAGCTGCTGTTGTCTTTGCTTAAAGCCTGCAAATGTCCCATTATATAATTCTGAATCATATCTTTTAAATGAGTTTTCTCACTTCATATGACAATTGTTTCTAATGGCAAATAACCTGACACAAGCAGTGCAACAAAGTGAAACTAAATGATTATCCTTGAGGGCACCCATTGTCCTCCTGAAACCGCCCAATTAAACCTCTCCTTGGCATGAATAAAGAAGTATGACCAGGTTAATGTGTTAAGGCAATGGAAAAGTACACCGTATTTCTCACAAACACTCTACCTCTTCAAACAGAATTGGTATTCATTTAAAAATAAAAAAAAATAAAAAAGACAGGCCTTGAACTCAACCTTAAGGCTGAATCATGTAGACAGTAGATGAGTCAACCGACCTGCATCCACATGGGTTTAATCATCAGTGAGCACAAACCAAACATACTGACCCAACAGAAACATTTTCTTACTTTTATTATATGATCTGCACTGTGCTTCTGTTTTTATCTTTCCAAAAATAAGAAGTACTGACGGTAAACATTATTGTGCGCACACACAAACACACCCCCACAGGTCCGTCGAGTCAGAGCGGCAGTAATATGGTGTTTCCCGTGCTGTTGCTATAGGTACTAAAGTTAGTAGGTGGAAGCTTCCTGCATCATCGTATGAAAGCCAGGTGGGTGCTGTGAAAACTTTTCACTGATGGTGAAGCCAAAACGCCTAACTCTCACTCTGCTATTCATTACCAGATTGTAAACATTACAGTTAATAAATTATATGACATTTTTGTTAAGCCAGTGTTTTATGAAACAGCAATGGCCATAATTGTGCAGCTGTATATTCACTTCAGTGGAGTCTGTGACGCTTTTTAAGAGGCTGGATGGTTGTTGTTCAAAGCTTAAAACCCTCCATCATTTATTAAGAGACTCAGTCAAACAATGCTTGTTTTTACACAGCAAATGTGGAGACTGATTAATTATTATTTAAATTCAGATTATATTATTCATTTTGTAGGCCTTGGGTGTAGGTCCACATTCAAAAGCAAATCATGTGGACAAAATTATAAATAAATAGCCTGCAACTTGATTACAGACCATGTGGGTTGGGGATTTCCTTCAGACCATTAAGAATTTCATAAAATAATATCACAATATGATCATGTCAACATAATACAATTACACTGTTTATAAGTTGTGCTGCATTGTCAACCAGCCCTTTTCCAAAATACTTCAGCTGCAGCTGTTTCTCATTATTTTTCCATGCCGTCCTCTGAGATGTCACTCTTACGTCCCTCCTTAGTAAAAACATTCTTTCATGGTGTAACTCCACGCTAATTATATCCACATGAACGTTTTCACTTGAAGTAAAGGACTTCCATGATCACGGGACACCCTGCACAACCCTGTGGACTAGCTTAAACAGTTTCATGCATACAGTGTTAACACAGATATCAGATGGAAGCAGCTTGGTAGGGATTAGTGCTCAGTTTTTGCGCTGCTAATCAGAGATAGTTAGGGTCTCTTGCAGAAGCGGTACAGCAGAAGTAGGTCAAAAAGACAAGAAGGGTGGAAGACTAACTACTAACACAATGACCTACTTGCACCACGCGTGGAGATGCTGGGAGGTAAGGAAAGTTATTTGATTATGTAACCTGGCATTGACATGCCTCATTCACTGAGGATTACTCCCCTATATCTCAAGAAGTGGGCTGCTAACCTCTTCACAAGCAATTCATATGATACACACGGAAATATTTTCATGTTCCCAAGTCTAACTGGGGCACATTATTACTCAGCTCTGACTCTAATATGTCATGTTTGCAACAGTCAGTCATTCACTCAGTTCCCAGTTTACTTACTAATGCACAAAGATGCAATAAATCCGACTATCATGAAGGTTATGATACTCATATTTTGTTGAAACTGTATTGCATAATACTGACAGGAGGTGTTTCTATTATTTAGTCCACCCCATTTACATCAGTGAAGGTAGGTTAAATATCAGAAAGCTGTCTGTATTATGCAACTGAGTGTATGTTAATGCTGGGGCAGACATTTACAATCAATTAAACTCATTACCGGTATTTATAACAACTGTTACCTCGACTCTCAAAAGAGAGATTTTGATCCTGTAAATGTTTTCTTCTCTGTGCAATCCTACTATTTATAGATATGAAGGGTTTAATTTCATGCACATGTACGATATGTGCCTAAAAAACAAAATAAAGGGAATGAACCAGGTCATACTGAGCGATCTGCATGTGAGCTCTGCGTCACACCAGGCTGCTTTTACATAACCGTGGTAGCATAACATGGACGCTCCATAACAGTCACGCCTTTGCTGCTGCTGCTGCCCTACTCTTCCAGTGATGGGATGGGACCGCAATGCAAACCAGAGCGCACAGCAGGAGAGGAAACAAAAACATCCAGCGAGACACCCACTGCACTGTGAACCTCGGGGAGCCCTTTCATTCAGCAGCTGCATGTGTGGACTGTTAGCTGCCTGCAGGCTACGGCACACATTTGTGGGGTTGTAATGAATAAATGTGTAGATCACAGACCAAGCTGGGTAAATAAAAAGACGCAGACTGTTTGTTTTGACAGGGGAAAAGTTTCCACATAATACTGCACAAGACTGCCTGCTGGATACAGGTCAAGTTCAGATAATGTGTGTCATTTGAGAAAAGCCACTCCTGACGTGTTCAATGCACAGTGTCATTTCATTTTCAACATTCAAACTCTCTTTCTGGGCCTCTGTCCAAACAGTTCGGACTAAACAAACAGACAACCTTCCCTTACTTGGAAAGAACACAAAGAGATTAAAACAAAGCTTGTTGTTTCATTAATCTCAGCTCTGGCAAATGTGGAAGACTAATTAAGTCCCGAGACTACAACATTTCCCTATTTCTATCTATTTTCAAGCATATTATTCACTTAGAATATTGGAAAGATCAATCTCTGCCAAGTCTCTAACCCCTGTTGAAAAGGCAACTAATGATCTGAATGTCATTTACACTGCCACTGCAATATATTAAGTTTTGGAACTGTTGTCATCTTATTGACACTGATATCAATAATTGTGATTGTAAAATTGTGTCTGGTGTATCATCAGTCATAATAAACTGGACAGTTTAATAATATTATCTGATTTAATGTAGAACTTGCTGTCCTTTTTTCCATAGATAAAAGTTCACTTCTAACTATTTGTTACAACAAACATAGCATACAGTGTGGCGGCCAACATCTCAAGGATACACCTGCTGTAAACAAAGATGCAAGAGTAAACTTTTGGGACAATGCTGAGCCAAATCTTTCTGTTGCATGATATCTATATTTGACATGACATATTTAAGTCACTGCAGACACATCAAACCAATGCAGTCTGTTGGTACCAATGATTAGTAATACTTCTGCATTAAAGAGTCAAGTAAAATGGACATTATCACCAAGGGGTTAGGGCTGAAACCAACAATTATTTTCATTGTCAATTAATATGTTGATTGCTTTCTTGAATAGTCGACTAATCGCTTTGTCCAAAATGTCAAAGATATTCATGTTGCAATCATATGAGAATCCTCACACTTGAGAAGTTGAAAGCAGCTTGAAAAGTCACTGAAATGATGAATTGATTACCAATAGTTACACATCAGTTATCTTTCAACTGGCTAATCATGTCAGCTTTAAATCTCATGTCAGCAAAACAATAACTAAATGCAGCATTGGATGTGAAATGTTTACTTGTACAACATGTGGGTACCAGGGGCTAAGCATCCAGATGTGTCTGCACCACAGTGAGCAGCCCTGATCTCCCAGTGCCCCTACAGTAAGTAAGATGTTCGGCGGTTGCTTCACTCACCTCCACCTGTTGATCCCAACGTTGGAAGACCCCGCGAACCAGGGGTCGAGGATGTAGACGCAGCGGACAGTATCCGCTCCCTGCAGAGATTCCTTGAGCGACGGGTTGTCGTGGAGCCGCAAGCCCTTCCTGAACCAGTGGATCGTATTAATGACCATTACTCAACTGGACGAGTCCTTTTTGTCGCCTTTTAATAATAACAAGTCTTTTTGTGCTCACTCCACTCCACTGGTATCCCGATTCACTGACAGTGTTTTAAAAAAAAATGATATCCAAGAAAAATAAAAAGGCGTGTGGGAATCCAGATGTATGCAGTAAATTGCGTGTATGCTATGTTAGCATACAAATCGTTGTTTTCAGTAATGCAGTCCAACTTTGCAATTAACCTTGCTCTAAAAGAACCTTTTCCATAATGTCGAGGAATTTAGAAATCGTTGGTTGCTGAACCATTTGGGCACGAGACAGCGCGCGCGCGCTCTCCGGCAATGTGACAGCCAACAACACGTCGGGCTTTAGGACCTGCTTCTGTGACGGGCAACAGCGTGGCTCGTTGTATAACTTGTTTTTTCTGAATAGTGAATAATGCGTGTACAAATATACATGTAACCTACTAAAACACTTTGCTGGACCCGCACTCTAAAGCCATTATTTAATTATAACTGAATCTGAATAACTGGCCTGTAATTTCAGGCAATAACGACCACAAGACACGGTGGCAAGCCCGGCTGATCCCAGCCGTGAATAACGAGAAAGCTGGTTATGTAAATACAGTTTATGACTGCGATATTGTCAAATTCGTCGTCCTAGTGAAACCTAGAGAAATACTTAGCTGTTGTAAATCGGTCTCGGTTCCGTATGACTCGTCTCTCCTACTGCTGAACATTTGTTTTGAGTGAATATTCAGAAAAATGTTCTCAACGTCTGCGAATAACCGCTCAAGCTCGTCACCGCACCCACTGTCGTGACGCCGCCCACACGGTGACGAGCACAGCCTTGAGCTCTCCGATTGGTCCAAAACGCCAAGTGCGTTTCTCGGCGTGGTCACGTTTCTGCAGCGTGCTTTCTCTGACCTAAATAGGATGAGCTAACGTGTACGGCTGTGGTAATGCTACTGAATTGTGACCTCTTACGGTACCACCTCAGCATGTTTGTAGGCTAATTTACGAAGTTCTGCCAAAATATATATCTAAGCAATTCGGCGAGGTTAGACAGTGAACACAACTTTTTTTTTTTTTTGGGTTTAACAATAAGTTGATGATAAAAACACGAGCCGTTAAATCGTTGCATTTAGTACGTGCACATAGATGACACACTCGTGTAAAGCAATGAGGCTAAAAAGACAAAAAGTACATCTCCCTCCGCTTACATAGCTTGTTTACCTTAAAAGAACCCGGATAAGCACATGAAGACCGGCATGAGCGCGCGTCACTGTGCGTGCGTGTGTTTGTGTATATGTTTGTGAGAAAGAGAGAGAAAGTCATTGTAGTGCTGGTAGTATTATTAGTCAGTCTTATAAATAAGTTGTGCAGTTTATTAAATGTAAAAACGTAACAAATAGTTTTGCATGAAGCTGCAGCGTACCTTGATTTGAAGCCAACTACAGAGTATGTTCAGGGCAACTGCACTGTGATGAAAGTGAATATTATAGCCTATATTTGCAGTTTGCCACATCTCACGCTTGAATCGAGACTAACACTTTTATTTATTATTTTCGGAATTATTCATTCAAATATTGCACTACATTAACTGCACTGTAATTGAAATATTGAAGTATTAGTCTCATTTGTCTTCTTAATGCCATTTTGTATCTCATGTAAAGCACTTACTGTTAAAAGGTGCTACACAGACAAACTTTCCTTGCCTTGTAGTTAGAGCCAAGATGTTATAAAAGTAATACAACCAACCTTACTTTACCTATCTATTTGTGAGTATGTTCTCTAAGTTGCATGCATACAGTCTAAATTACAGTTTTATACATTATTACTAATGTATAATAATTATGTAATTATTACATGTTGTAGCATGTACCACACCACCTTATTTTCTCTATATTTGGTCTTCTTTAATGTCTAAATTAGAAATGCGTCACAGTTTTGTCTTACATAAAATGGTCTGTAATAATTACGCAAGACATAAAATGCAGCCTTGGACTGTGGAAGTAGTACCGTGTTTTGGCCACTGAGTGGAAGCATAACGTCATGCTACCAACTATTTGTAAGCACGATAATAACATCCATACATGATAATAAGCAGTTGTTATAGGATGGATGCTGTACCTTTTTCCTTTTTTTTGTCTTTTACATTTTAAGGGACAATATTTCCACAGAATAATGGTACTACGGTAATATTATTGAAATTATTATTATTATTGTATGGTATTATACCAAAACAGATACCAATATATAATAATACACTCAATAAAAGTCATAGTTTGAAGTACAGTAACCTAATTACAAAGTACAAAGTACAAACCATTAAAAAAAGAAAAATGCTATATATATATGGTAATTGGTAATTAAATCATATATATGATTTATATATATATATATATATATATGATTTAATTACCTAATTAAAAAACGTGACATTGTACAGGATGACTAATGAAACGTGTTTATGTGATACACTCATTCTGCTGGCAAAACACTAACAATCTATCATCTTGCTGGTAAAATCATGACCATTTTGGTGTTACCAGGCAACCAACGCTTAATACGTGAGGACAAGCTTTGGAGGACCACAGTGCATGTAGAGAAGCAGCTGACAACTGCCCACCTCCACCGCTCTCACCTTAGTTAGTCAGCAAGATGTGCTGCATTGCATCAAGAGCTCGTGGCAGACTGCTGGAGATGAACAGGGGTTAATGCTGACATCTGCTTACATAAAAAACCAAACAACTCTTTATGTATACTTTATAAAAGTTCTTTATGCAACATGCATTATCATTTAATCTAAAATGAAATGAATCATTCATTTTCTCTATGGGGTTCATGTAGATATTCTTATCACAGGTTTCCCTCTCATCAGCTATCAGAATCTCCCTTATGTTGACAAAAATCTTCCCAAACTGGTTCTTCTTATTACAAAAATTTTTGTGGTTCTATCTCTTGGCATAAATACGTAATGATATTGTTATGGCTATTATTTGTCAGCTAAACAATGATCAGTGTCAAGATACTGGCATGATTTGTTTTACACTGTTCCCAGTCAATCACTCTGTGAGAGTGGGTGTATCATCATTTCTCAAACATTCCAAAGTAATAAGTTTTTCAGTTCTGGCATTGGGCAGTGCAGTGTCATGCTAAGAAAATATGAAAGGGCCTCTGGCCTGGCAGGCAGTGTGGACAGATGGTTGGTCCAGCTCAGATGTACAAGGAGAAGCCCCAGCAGAATGGATGAATCATCATTCTACCAACTGTTCCTCTCAGCATGTCTTCAGAATTCAATTCACTCGCTTTTTGTTTTCATGGCCTGATAAAAATGTTGTGTTATGGAGAAAATCCCTCAACAACATGATGAAATGATGCAACACCTTGAAGCAGGGCTGCAGGTTTGTATTACCAGCGGATGTGGAAAGAGTCTCTGATCTCGAAAAGCTTGGAGCGATGTGCTATGACCAGTAAAATATTTATATTAAGGATCTGGCATTAAAGCTCATGGTGTTCCTCAAGAAAGCTACTTTTGCTGCAGACTCACTTTCACCTCTTACTTAAAATGATCACTGACGGTGGACAGCACGCCACAAAAACCAACAGATCTTCACAGCAGAATGCAGAACTGTGTTTTCCATCTGTTTGCCATTAAGAAAAACAAAATGTTTCGCAACATATGTTCACTCAAAAATTTTGTATTTTATCCAGATTCCAAATATAATTAGATTTAAGTCAAACAGGAGATTATTATCCTCTCACATGCATTCTCTTCGACAGTGTGCTTTTCATGTGTAAAATAAAAAAGGTTGGATATATTGTTTTTATGCTGCCCCTCTCTGTTGTCATGTCCACAAATTTTCCCACACTAAGAGAGCATTCACATTTCCAGCATGTGTTTTCTCAGTGGGAACCCAGCTACACGACACTGCAGCTACACGACTAAATAACAGATTGGTTGGCACAGAAGCCTACGTGTCTGTCTCTTGATTCTGCAGTTATGTTTCACCAGCACCAGGTAGCCTCTGCTGAAAGGTAGCAGGTAGGTTGCTCTGTGTCAGTCAAAGCTGATGGAGAGGCGGATTGGCTCGTTTCAGGCCCTCGGGGCTCCAGGCTCCACCTCTCCATCAGACTCCAGCCTGTGCTGCGCTTGTTGCAGTGAGCGCGGAGGGTTTGTGCGCTCTCAGGTTACGCGTATGAAGTTGTGGACAAGAGGATATCGAAGACATCCAGCCACTTAGATAAGGAGGAAAGTAGAGGCTCACTTCTCTCGTTTCACTCTTTAAACTGGGAAATACAATTAAGTCCTCGTGCAGGGGCTGCGGAAAAGCAAGAAAACGACTTTGTGGCATTTAACTGAGAGACCAAGCATACCCAACAGTATGCGGTGCAGTTATGGCAGGCAAGGGTAAGACAGTCGTGAGGACGCTGGAGGATTTAACGCTTGATTCTGGTTATGGTGGAGCCGCGGACTCGGTCAGGTCGTCCAGCGTGTCGCTGTGTTGCTCCGACACGCATCAGTCCGTCTCACATGGGGCCAACTGCTGGCATCTGACGGAATCCATGCACAGCAGACAAAACAGTTTGGACACAGTCAACACCGTCCTGGCGGAGGACACGGAGATACTGGAGTGCTCGGGTCAGTGCGCCAAGCTGCCCGAGCTGGAGGACGTGCCATGGAGCCTCGGCGAGGTGGAGGGCGCATTGAGGAAAGACGAGGAGCTGATGGTGGGCAACCCGCCACCGGAGGTCTTGGCGCGGCTCTCGGCTCTCATCAGCCGCGCACTGGTCAGGGTGGCACGGGAGGCGCAGCGGCTCAGCCTGCGCTACGCAAAGTGCACCAAGTACGAGCTTCAGAGCGCCATCAAAGTGGTGCTTTCATGGACCATCTCCGTCAACTGCATCACGGCGGCTCTCAGCGCCCTGTCCCTCTACAATATGAGCACCGGGGACAAGTTCAGCCGAGGCAAGTCGGAGCGCTGCGGGCTGGTCTTCTCCGTGGGGAAGTTCTTCAGGTGGATGGTGGATAGTCGGGTGGCCCTCAGGATCCACGAACACGCTGCCATATACCTCACTGCTTGCATGGAGAGTCTGTTCAGAGAGGTGTTCAGCCGCGTCCTTCGCAGCGCGCTGGTGGAGAGGGACAACGGGATCCCCAAGTTTACGCTGGAGTCACTGGAGCAAGCCATCAACAACGACTCGGAGATCTGGGGTCTGCTGCAGCCCTACCAGCACCTAATTTGTGGCAAGAATTCAAGTGGTAAGAAACGTTAAAAAGAAAAATCTTGAGATGCCAATCAGTGATTATTTGCTGAAATATGATCTGCTGATTGGGCACTCTTTTGTCACCTTGGTGATCCATGCTTTTGGGGGTGGGGGGTTTACTCACTCATCATCCACTGTAAAATCCACCATATAAGCCAAATGATATTCAGATTCCCCCTGAAACAAGTGTCACTTAATTCAAATGGATGTCCACCTGTCCCCAGAAATATCTAGAAACCAGTGGCTGTATCTTTACACAAGGCAGAATAGTGACTCAACTCTCTTGATTAAGGAAAACTGAAACAAGCCCAAATATATACCTACATTTCAAGTTTTATTCATTTCAGTTGAGGACAAGATGATTTTAAATCATATTTTTCACAGTGCACAAGGTGATAATCTGCTTAGTGTAGCCCTGTTGGAAAAGTAATATGACTATAAACGGTGTAATTATGCTGGGGAATAAACACTGCTTATCTAGCTGGTGTAATTGTACTCCCAAACAAAAGGACTCGACAGTTTCTTGAATATTTATTACCCTCAGCTTAAAACGCAAGGCCCACCTCTGAAGCAGGAACTGTCTTGGTTATCAAAGCCCTGCAGCTACTACAGTCAGAATAGGTATTTATGGTTGAAAAAGATCAAATAAGTGGCAACTTCTATTTCTTTGAAGCTTTTGTGTTCTCAGACTTTGAGACAATGATCTTAATGTTAATGATTGTTTATGATAGAGTGCATGTGTATGTGTATAGATGATATGAGAGTCGTGATTTTGCAGGAACAGGATTTGTGTTTATATTGTGTGCTGGGCTGGCCTTGTTGGTAACGCTATTACTGTCTCACTCCAGAAGGTGTAAGCTGTCAGTGTGGGCTGGCCCTCTCATCTAAAGCCCTGAATGAGTTGGCTGAAACTATAAAGCAGAAGGGACTTGAAATGTTATTCTTTAACTAAGAGCCAAACTGGGCTCATAATCATATTCTCCTCTTTTGCTAATTGTTGCAGCGTGATTGTTTTCTTTCAGCACTTACTAGACAACTTAATAGAGGTGAAAAACAAAGATGCTTGGTTTGACTGAGCGAGGAATTGTGCAACATGTCTTGTGGATAAGCCATTCTTCTATAATGGCACCAGAAAAGATTGTTCCAGTAGCTGCTTGAAGAAAAATTGATCTGAAATAGCACCTATAGGTTCCCAAGTTATGTGGCGTGACTTGAAATTCAATGTTATGAACCAGGTTTTCTCACAAAACAGGTTCTTTTCTATAATGCAGACCCTTTAGCCTCTGTCATGCAACCCAAACAGTACTAACTATCATTGATTGTTAACGCTTCTCAAATGGGAATATTATGGGAGTTTTGACTGTTGGTTGTACAAAAACAAAAAAAGATTTTAATTTGAGCTTGAAAATGTCACCTTGAATAACTGGTAGATGAATCAGTAATGAAAATCATTAGTTGCGGCCCTAAAGAAATGACAGTTAAGTAACATAGAAGACGAAGGACGGCTGCAACTAACGGTTAGATAATTTCCCCAATTCATTGAATAATCGCTTGGACAATAAAATGTAAAAAACAGTGGGGAAAAAAGAGATCCCAGTTTCCCAGAGCAGAAGACATCTTTAAATGTCTTTATTTGTCTGACCAACAGCTCAAATAAACACAAACCCAGTAAAAAGAAGCACATTCTCACACGAACCAGAAAATGTTTGTCATTTTTGCTTGAAAAATACTTGACACGTTGAATTGATTTTCAAAATCGTTATTTCATTTTCTGTCGGTTGACTAATTGATTTATTGATTCAGTGTCGCAGCTCCAAACTGGATGTGGGACATTTCTTCTCACCCTTTAATCCCCTCCATTCATCTTGTAATACCTCCTCATTTGACATTGATATTTGGCCGGGAAGATGCTGCACACGACTGCTTTGTCTTGAAATTGCATTTGAGAAGCAGGTACTTCTCTGCAGACAGGATGCAGAGCCAAGCATGCATCCCCCTCCACTCCTACCCGTGGAACGCATCATTTCCTGATGGTGCAGAGGAGGCTACAATTTGCACGCTCACAGCACAGCATGATGTCATGCCATGGTAGGCATGGCAAAATGTGAGGCAAAAATGTGAGCATATCAAACATTTTAAGAAGGTTTATGTTGTCTGTTTGGTTTTATGACAGCCCTAATCACACTTAAAGAACAATAACTCATTAAAATGTCACATTTCAAATAGAATTGTCAGACCTGCGGCTAAATAATTAACCATCCTTAATCGCATATTAATTAAACTTTCACTCATACAAATGAAATTTCTCATTTTCTCTATTAAGTTTTGAGCCTTTTGCAAACAAAGCTGATAGAAATGAGACTATGTTTAGTAGAAATGAGACTATGTTTAGTCAGGGTAGCCTTTCCGGTGAGAAACATGGTCTCTTGTTTAAAAATTTCACCTGGGGAACAAAAGCAGTGACTAAATCCATGTTGTTTTGCACTCCCACTGACCATACGTGACAGCCTGATTAATGAGCAGAGCTAAATGGAGGCTTTTCTTCACTTCTTTTTTTCCCAGTGGTACATGCTGCTGTTGAACCTTTAAAATCGGATAATTTTTAGTTGTTCAAAAAGTATATACTGTATATGAAAGCTTTTCAGAGTGTGCATATTCGAATAGGTGTGTCTTCCTTTGTCTCACAGACAGTTCGAAAGCCAAAGACATTCAATTCACTTACTGTCACATTCTATGAGCCAGGAGGTGACGCAGTTATATGAAACAGTAAAAAGAAGCAAATTGTCACATTTGAGAGGCAACAACCAGAAAATGTTTGTGTTTTTGGCTTGGAAAATACCTGAAACCGTGATTTGATTTTCAAAACAGTTGGTTTCATTTTCTGCTGGTTGACTCATTGATTTATCAACTAATTTTTGTATTTTTGAGACATTTCTTCTCACCCTTTAATCCCCTCATCCATCTTCAGTGGTACACGCCGATGTTGAACCTTTACATTTGGATTATTTTTAGTTGTTCTAACATTTAGCATTATAGAAAAAAGACTGGGTGTGTACTGTGTATGAAAGCTTTTCAGAGTGTGCTGTGTCAAAGAAGTGTTTCATGTCTGTTGATGTGCTTACTAAGAACCTTACAAACACTAAATCCGATACTAGTAACACCTATAATATGGTTAACTGTCCACAGGTGGAGGGATAGGCAGTTCAGTATGGGCAGATATGTTTCGGTCGACAAGTCCTCCTAATGAAATAACAAAATCGTTGTTTGTCATTGCCTTTATGACTCATGAGTGTTTTTTTAATGTGGTGTCTATCTGCAGGATGGCATTGTTTATCAGTGTCCTCCAATATGACCCAAATTATTATTATGGAAACGTGTTGTCTGATTTGCCTCCTCTATGGTTAAGCTTCGGTTAGGTTTAGGCGACTAACTAAGTTAAAGGTTTTGCAGCACTAGCCTAGAACAATGCCAACTTATGCAAGTCTTCTGCAATGAATTAACCTGAACTTATTTGAACTTATGTTTCTAATTTAACTTTGACTAAAACCAACCAAACTGTTGTTATCTTAGCCCCACCTTAACCTTAACTGTTAACATATGTGTGTGGGAAAAGGCACCACCATAGGGCCCAATACAACAATCACTGTAGTTAGGCATATAAATCCTATGCATAAAGTACAAGTGAAATGTAAGTGATTAGTCAGTGTATCTGACTTTATAGACAGGCTTATTGATTAAAATAGAAATGTATCTGTTCCCTCAGATGCACGTGAAACAGAAAACATGGCTAATAGGCCTTAAAAAACATGCCTGCTGTGCAACTATTGTTTTCTTTGTAAGCCCGCACACTAGTGGCATCTTTGATTTACGTCATTACAAATGGACGTGCAAGTCATCAGGACACGCCACTGTCCCTATTTCCAAAAATGACATAGGTCAACTCTTCAGAAAAGCAGCAGTTTTATCATATTTGTTTCTTGGGTCAACACAACTGGCTATCGACTATTTCTTCTGTCTCTATGGTATCCAGTGTACGCTACGTGGGGACAATTGTAGCGTGCCAAATGATAAGACGCTGATGTGTGTTGCACCTAACCATAAAAGCAACAATAACGTACAAATCAGTTTGCCTAAATTCTGGTGAAATATTGTATTTAAAATATTGAAAGTGGAAATCTCCTAACGTATAATTCTCAACAAGCATTCACCATGTATGACTCTCTCTTGTCAGTCACGTCAAACATCCTAATGACAAGTGACGTCAGAAACAAGCAGCATGGTCATCAACTTCCAAACCTGCCGGGGCGGCTTTTAAATTTGGAATCCCGCATGACTTGATTGTATCTGATTATGTCTGTCATTTGCCGTGACCTTCCCCAAGGAACTGATCCAACCTCCGCAGGACAGATGACACAACATAATGGAATTGCATAGCCTGCTATAGTCAGTCTATTAAATTAGCAGTGGGGTGTCTGCTCTCCCTCCTTCTTCACTCTCTGTCTTTCACACCATATTTTATTGTGCTTTCTGCTCGAGGGCGGGCTCGATGTTTGCATATTTATTTTCCACTGTGGTTTTTAATAAGCTCAACTCATAACCACATGATTCTGGCAAAGCCTTTTGTTGTCCATTCTGTTATTATTTTCGTCCTTCCCCTCCTTTGGGGTGGACTCGCAGATGAGATGACAGATTGCTGTCGTTCTGGTGGAGATGCGAGCACCCGGGCAGGCAAGCTGGTTGTGATAGATTTTTATGCCATGGTAATTTCATAAGACCAAAGGCTGCACCCACTCCCCTCCACCCTGCTTCATTTTCAGTGATCAGTGATTGTGAAGTTATGTGAAGTTGTTTTCAAGGCCAAGATGTATTTTATGAGCTGCATCCGTTGCTAGTTTTCCTCCATGTTAGTGACTTTTGAAAATATTGACTTTCATTTCATATGCTTCCTTGTGATTCTACTGGTAGAGATTCCAAAAACACCTATAACTCTGCTCT